TCAATCAGGAGGCGAGCACACTAACCATGAGGCCACCGCGCCACCTACACACCCTAACAGTTTTAGCGCAAAACAGAACAGCTACATGTAAAGGAGAAGGTCACCAACAACAGGTTTAAAAGGCTAAATTATATATAAACTGATCTTGTGGCTATCGAAAAACCAGTAAAAACCCAATTATTTTAATTTTGCGATAGATTTTAACGTTTCAGCAAGCATGGAATACAAATCGCTTTATACCTAAAAGATTAAAGTTCAAGTTTGCTTCCTTCTCGTATTTCCAAGTCAGACGTCCAAAACTGACATCATTGATGTTCTTCAGCCACTCGAGGCAGGAAACAGTCACACCTCCTGCGTTCAAGTACATATCCTGTTGAACAAAACCAAAATCTTTAGGAACAAACGTTTCCAAAGTTCCGAACTTTTAATTAGTTTTCTCAAGGTGTAAAACTATTATCTAGAATATGCGCTAGAAAAGACACTTTGTTAGACTGAATAGATGGCTGTGGATAAGTCAACGCTAAATTATGATATTTAAAACTCACTGGAATGACAAGTTTATTATTTTCAATTAAAACTTTTTCTGCCGCTGGTGTGGTTGGCCCATTTGCACCTTCAGCAATAACCTGGAAAGAAAAAAAATGCAAATATAAGTGGAAAACAAAAGTAAAACATTTTTAATGCCAAGTGGCCCATGCCAGCTTTAGCTTATATGCCAATCTCCATATTATTAAGCAACTACAAGTATGGTTGAATGCTGACAAGGGTTTCGGGCAAATTGACCAGCTGTAAGAGAATGGTTTTGCCTGTCTCAACTACTTTTCTACTCATAAAAAAAGTTCAGTTCAAAAAGTTTTGCTTGTCTATGAAAACCAATTGAAAACCTTCATAAAAGCCTTGTGCTAGACCATCACGGGGTTACCCTCCTGTTACCCATTTATCCACATGGGTGGAGAGAGAGACTGCAAAAGTAGTGTCTTACCTTCCTATTTGTACCTCTTTCTTTGTCCTTCTTGCAAAGCAAGAATTGTACAAACACACATTGAAATCGACTAAGGTCGAGCCACTGGAATTGAATGCAACACGCACAGCTGTATTGACTGTGCTGTAAGGCCAAACACAAGCAAGTTGTGGCTACAGTGTAGACAGATAGTATTTTAGTCGTTGACAGACTCTATTTTGTCTTGAGTTTGTTGAGATCTCAAGCAAAATATTACACAAAAATGTAAGGGGATGTAACTAGGGAAAACCAAATTGATTTTTTCACCTGCTTTGCAGTTGTTCTTGTACTCTACATGTGTACAGTTGTGCACTCAATGTAAAATACCTCCCCTCCCCCCATCCCCCCAAAACAGTACAGTATTTGTAAAGTAAAATAATCACTTACCTTTGCTTTAATTTTGTGGGCACTTTTAATTGTAATCTGTTTCTCATTCGCAGCAGGAACTAATATGTCACATTCAGCTTCCAAAGGTTTTCCTCAGTCATCTGAAACAAGAACACAAAAATACCTTTTGTTGCTCCAGTCTAGCACCAGAGGAGGTCTTTTTAAAAAAGAAAAGGCACATGCTCAAGAAACTATTTGGAGTGTTTAAATTTGAGTCAGTAGGGGAAACAAAAAAGGTTCAATGGAGTTTCTTAGAGTCAAATTTCAGTCAGATAACTTTCCTGTTGATTATGGATGGCATGTTTTCTTTTTATTTGTAGTCTTGAGTTTTATAGTTGTTTAATAGCTGGAGAAGTGTTGCATGAGAGCCAGAAACTTTCCCCAGTGCGCGTTTTCTTATATGGCAACTTAAATTAATAAGGGATCATTCACAACTTTCTGTTGTTTTGAAGATGGCATTAATAACAAGTGTTTACACACCTTTGCCCCAGGAAAACCTTTAATTGAGCCATCATTGTCCTTGACACAAGTAAAAGAGAAATTAACTGTTAGGCCTACAAATATGTAATTCATAGACGAATAAAAATATCTGATCAGTGACGTGAAACAGAAGTAAATAAATTCAGTATAATTATATCTAAGTGTGCTCTGTTTGTCACATGTACAATGTACATACTATTTACATACTGCGATTGACTGTGTGGGTTTGAGGTAGAACCCCTACATAATCATGGAGTTGAAGAAAGAATAGCGAACCACTATATAAGTAGATCACTAGTCCAAGCATCAGAAAAATCGAAAGGAAATGCCCAGCACATTAGGCAATGTTTCAAGAAACTTGTCTCCCAAAGAGTAACAGAAACAGTTGAGTAAGTTTCGTTAAACATTGCTCTGTGTAACAGGCCAGGGGTGGAACTAACAGAAGCACTCACAAAGGGGACACACACCCTGAGGTCTATGTCTTATTTTAAGTATCGCCACCATTATAATGAGTAAAACATGGTATGTGGGTGTGGTCTGGACCACAACTCAGTGTCCCCTTATGGATGGCATCCTACAGTAGATGTTTAAATTACATTTCATAAAATTTATCTTAATAAATTCAGCCTTGTAAATGAAATGTGTGGATCTCTGGCCCACATGTAACGACGTAGATTGGAGAGCACATAAAAAATAATGCTGCATTTCCTGTTGGGGAGAAATTAACAATGGTGCTGATAATGTTTACAACAATGCAAAGTGAACAAAGACAACAGAATAAAGCCAATATCAGTTATGTTCTCTAATGGAGTAACATGCTGGAAGGGGAACTAGTTTTATTACAACTTTATATAAGTGGTGTTCCAACAACATTCTGCCGAAATCGTGACAGTTCTATGGGACTGGCCCTTATTTATCAGGGGGATGGTCCTGGGTTTTGAAAAAGTGAGCATAAGAAGTTTGGCCTACCCTTTTTCATCCTAAAACTTGCAGACACTCCCACCCCCACCCACCCCCTTTGAAAAGAAAAACAAATAGTGAAACAGATAGAACAGTCTCTTACATAAAGTTGGTAAAAAAAATAATAACTCCCTCATTGTGACAGTAATTTTATCACTTCATTAGTATTTTATTTATTGTTTTATGATTTCCATTAAGATATCGGATGGTCAGTTGCTTGTTGAAGCATTTTACAAGAAATCTTAAAAGAAATATTATTCCATTAGTTTTGACGCATTTAGCTGAAAGGGTACACATCCATAGACACTTCTAAAAACACTCTTTTTAAAACAGCTTTCATAGGTAGTAATAATTGGAAATGTAAAAGTTCATGGCTCAGATGGTCAGACAATAAATCATATTCTTAGTAATAACATTTCTCCCAAACTCAGTGCTCAAAACTATATGGACTATCAAAGACATTATAAATTACAGTGGTCCCCCAAATAACTGATGACTGGTCTTTCACAAACTTTACTGCAAATCCATTCATTCATCTGGTATCAAATCTTCTCCCTGTTTCATTTTTGCCTTTTCAAGGGAATAGGTTTAATGTGTGGACTATCAGAATGAGCCCCACCTTGGTGCACACCTGTACTAGCAAAAAACTAATTGAAAAATCCTTACAAGCTATGCAAAGAATGATTTATGTTTGACCATGTTTGAATGACTTACCACCTGTCAATGTATTTCTAACAGATGACACAAAAGCAGCTGCCTTTGCTGAAACAAAGCAGACAAAACCTATGTTACAAAAATTTTACAAGTTTCAAAAATTGAATACCTCAGAACCTGAATCAAAAGAATTTTAAGCTCATGGGTTGATCATGTTATTCTGTCATTTTGACATGTTTCTTTCCCTGAAACGCAAATTTAGGGGGTTTCAATGGGAGTGCAACAATACTCCACTCACTTTCTCAGGGAAATTGAAAATGTTATCTTTCTTTTGCTTTCACAAAAATGCCGTCAAAATGTAGGAAATGGCATCTCAGGGAACCTGGGCTTTAAAATTTACCAGGGGGAGAGGACCCCTGCTGTTCTAAATGCTTCATTTCCTGTTTCTGAATTGCCTGGATCTG